ATAAAACCTCTAAAAAAAAGTTTTGCTCCTCAAACTGTGCGGTCAAACACAGAGTGCCTGTTTACATCAGAGCAGATGTCTGTGTGTAAATCAGATTATAAGCAAGTGTTCGGAGGAAAAACAGCTCCATTTTTCCATAGATTGTTGTGGTAAAATGCATAAAACTCCATGCTGTTTACAAGCTGCAGTTAGTGTAAATTCTTTAGTCTCCTGAGAGCTGGTAGCTGATTTCAGGAGAAGAAACTGAAGACGAGGAGCAACTTACACAAGATCCCAAATCGTAAAATATTGAATTCATCTTGTCTTCCAGTCATAAGTGTCAGACATCTACAAATGAATTGTCAAAAATGTGTATAACATCCAGCCTTGTTGTTTTACACTCACATTTACCCTTCAACTCAACCTTTATTTATCTAACACAAACGTGTTTGTCACTAGCTAAATGGCAGTACTTATGCTCTTATATGTTCTAATCTCTTACACTTTTAAATTCTAACTACATATGAATTTATTTTGTGTCAATCTGAACTCACATTTCCTCAATCTTCACATCTGGCATCCAAAGAAACTGAGTGGGAACTAAGATGTGATCAATTCCACAGAACTGATCTGGATCCCACCAGATATGCTCGTTGTCCCACCTCTGCACAAAAAACAAAAACAACAGCACCATTTGAGGAATACTATTTAAAAAAAAGACAAGCAGGGAAAATAAATGAAACTATGCAGTTTCATACACATAATATGATTTATCACGACAGAAATGTGTGTAAAACGCTGAATTTTAAGGTTAAAACTTACTAAATAAACCCAAATATATGAAATGAAAGTCTGGTCAGTTTCTCTCTGYGAGCAAAGAAATGTAGTTTAGATTAAAAACAAACTTCATCAGAAAAAAAAAACATTTTAATCTGCAAAAGAAGGTCTTAAAACTCATCACATCCCTTAKTGGCACCCAGTTATGTTATGAACTCACCACATCGAGGATGGCATAGATTTTCATCTCCAGTAGTAACCAATTTATATGTTTGTGGTGTTTAACAGGTCGGCTCACAGCAAACTTATCGCCGTCTTTGGTCAGATTCAGGTGGTTTAAAACAGCCTGAAAACTGCAGTTTTCTGAAATATTCAGTTCATGTTCTGAAAATATACAGAGACATGTTCACTAATGCAAATTTCAAAACAACGCTATAACGGAAAATGACTGTTGTCAGCATAAAAGTCAGTAAAACAGTATTTTCTGTTACTCGCTTGAAATTCAGCTTCATCTAATACTATACACCAGTGGTGGGCAGCACTAATCTAAAAATTAGTTCCACTAGGCCTAAAACGCTAACAAATATTTAGGTCCCCCAGCCCTAAAGCACTAATGCACTGAAAWTTTTTAGCAAAAGCTAAWTCTAAAGCACTAAAATAACCCAATCAACCCATAAACATTCACACAACAGACAACATGAGTCACATTTTGTTGTGTTGCTCTCTTAAGACTTATTGACATTCCACTACTGTATTTGGGTTCATATATTGTCACCTGGTGGATAAGTGACACACATATGAACAAAATGTGTGACAGCTTTCACCATCAGCTGTTAACATTAATGTTGATCAATAACATTTATAGACCTCAGTCAGTGATTCTAAATTTAGCCTATAAATTTAGCAAGTGCTAATCCACTAATAAAATTTAAAATTAGCAAAAGCCCTTAAGCACTAATCAGAAAATTAGTTCCCTTATTAGTGCTTTAGTGCTTTAGGGGAATTGTGCCCACCACTGCTGTACACAGTTTAAATACAAAAGCAAATAAACTTGTTTCAGGGTTTGCTTCTTACCTCGAATTCTGTCAAAGATCTGAGGGAAATGTTCAAGCTTTGGGTTCTCCATATATGATATATTTATKAGGTCTGTTGAGAGAGTGAGGGGAAGTACTTCATTTTTATGTGCATTAGTGTGATAGAGGTGCAACGCTAACAAAAACTGCAGAATGTATGACAACATTTCTTACTGGGTATTACGCGATGTATTTGTGGCTTCAAAAGTTTGCTGCTAGAATTTTCTGGTTCAGAGAAGTTTCCACCTAACAGAAACAAACACATTTTCTTCTTAAACAATATTTATTCATATGAAGATAAATGATTAAATGATGTCTTTTTTTACTCAGTCAGGGCCAGCCCGTGTCATACACAGTATACATATAAGTCAACTCTTTTGGTTATTTACCTGTTTCTTGACCCTCAAAAATCCGTAAATTTAAATAAATTAATTGTCACTCACACGCGATACAAGAAAGGTGAACAAGCAGACAGTTGGCCGTGGGGAAATACAGAACATGGGGTGGGGATAACTGTGTCTGCAGTGCAGAGGAGCAGAGAAAGGAGGAAGTAGAGAGGTGGCAAACTTATTTCTAGCAGCAGAGGGAGTTAGGAGATGGTTATTTCATCCATCCATCCATTATCTACACCTGTTTCTTCCTTTCAGGGTCACGGGGGTCACTGGTGCCCATATCCAGCAGTCACAGTGCGAGGGGTGGGGTACACCCTGGACAGGTCGCAAGTCCATCACAGGGCCACACATAGAGACAAACGAGACAAACAACCATTCACTCTTTCACTCACACCTAGAGACAAATTAGAGTTATCAATTAACCTAACAGTCATGTTTTTAGTCTGTGGGAGGAAGCCGGAGCACCTGGAGAGAACATGCAAACTCTACCCAGAAAGGTCCCCGGGCCAGGATTTGATCCAGCAACCTTCTTGCTGAAAGGCAAAAGCTCTACCAACTGAGCCACCGTGCATGCCACCGAAATGTAGATTCATTTTATTTATTGTTTTTTACATCCTACAAGCTGTGAGGTTGAAAAAAATCTGTGAGATTTCTCTATATGTTTGTATACCTGCAAACTGGAGGGAAATCAGTGTAATTTACAGACAATCATACAACTCGACATGGTTGCATCCGAAGCTAACAGTCGTGGTTGTTCGACGCTTATGTTTSCACACAGCTTTCATACTTCCTGAAACACACAGCATTAAGCAAATCGTAAACTCCTCCCGCTGCGGCATACGTTACTGCAGGGGTTCCTTTACACTGGAGTCTACACTCAAAAAAATAAACAAATAAAATGTAGATCTGCCATTATTTGTCCATAAATCTGTTCCCTTCTAGAAGTAAGTAGTTTTTGTTTGTTTAGAGTTTTTTTGAAAGCAAATTATTGAAGCAAAATGCATTGTCTAAGCCAGTGTTTCCCAAAGTTAGGGTCGGGACCCAAAGTTGGGTCTCGAAAAATCAAGGTGGGGTCCTGAAAAGATTTTCTGAATTAATTACATTTTTCCCTTAGTTGCTACAAATGAGTGAGGTTAGGATATTTAAAATGGGTAAATGCAGTATAAAAGTATTGTTACTATGCCCATGTTTTATTGACCTGATACAAATGTTTATCATCCAAAAATAGTTGGGGGCACAGGTCTCTGACACTGTTATTTTGTGGGTCAAAAGCTGAAAAGTTTTGGAACCAGTGCACTTTGGTTCCCAAAGTTGGGCTTGGGACCCAATTATGAGTCATGAAGCACCTTG